ATAATTCAAAATTATTAATATAATATTAAAATCAGTCGTTGGTAGGATGTTTAACAAAATGAAGTTGTCCAAAATAAACTTTGGATGTTTGTATATTGACTTGGATAAAAAAATAACTTATAAAAATGTTGGCAAATTTTAGGTCATGTATATATATGATACATATTTAAATGTGTTAGGGTCATTATTTATTAAGCCAAATAATAAAGTGATCTGAATAAATTAAAGTTTTTGCTAAAGGCATATGTCATGAAAATATGATTGTGTAGAGACCATAGAGTAATTTCTAATTTGATGAGGGGCCAAATTGAAAATACTAAAACTTAAGTAATTAACCTAATTTTGGTTATATAAAGGGTCATGGTCCCCTTCGAGAGCACACGAGACGAACGTAGTTACGGTCCGTTCCTTTCTCTCTATCCCCATCAAGAGAGAAAATCCATAGGGAAATACAGGTGCTCTTCAGGTGGAAGACCATAAGATCAAATCAAAAGTGCTCTACAAAGGATATCGTTATTATGACCAATTCAGGTACGCTTTCGCATTTAGTTTATAACATGTATACAGTATGGGATTATAGATATATGTTTGATCATTAGGATGGAGATCATATTGAATTACACTTTACCCTAACAATTGGTATCAGAGCCGCCCATACTTTATTCATGTTTTTCTTAAGAAATATTTAAGAATTGAGATTAATTTATGAAACCCTTAATCCCTAATTAAAAACCCTAAAATTGAGAATCCTAGGGTTTCTTAAAACCCAATTCTCTATTCCGCGTGTGCCATTATCCGGAAACGGTGTAACCATTGGCTCAACACGCAAAATTGGAGAAGGCCGCGTGACGTGCCTCCAGTGTGGTTGGGAAAGGGATTTGCTGGGTTTAAAGGTAGGATGATGGGTTATCGTATGGCATGATTTTGGCCAATTCAGATTTTGGCCAACTGCACGAAATGGTTTTCAATTATTTGTTTACCAAGATGACGTGAGTAAAATACTTATATCTCCCTTACATGAAGCTACGGTGGAATTATGGCAGGAGTTATTTGCTAACCCAGAGGAGTATATATGGTATATATATTTGAAATATGAATGGTTGTTCCTCTCTTGGCGCGTAGCTTCGAATAGCTAGGTTTGTTGCGCAGAGAAGTTGGGTTAGCAACTAAAGAATTGGGTTCGTGTGCAAGGAGAATTCATATTCCATGTGTTAATTCTTGCGCAACATGAATAATTATGTATTTTATTAGTTACAATATGAATTTGGTTTTATTATATAAATAAAATATTAATTTGTTTGGTAGTTTAATATTTTTTTGTGAGCAAATTGAGTCAAGAAGTTACCAAAGTAACATCTCTTGAATTGGGTAGTTCAGTGAAAAATATTAAATGTTAGTGTTTGTGTATATTCATGCGAGTATTAGTCGGCCCAAAGGAAGATTAATATTTGGCCGAATTACATACACACCTGTAATGATAAACATGTGATAATTATAAGGATTTGCTTTGTCGATGATAAATCAATCCAAAGATTGGTTTGTTGTTGGACGTGCTTTATTGTCAATGTTTGATTATTACAACAAGATACCTCTAACGAGTTAATATTACTTGTCCAAAGACTTGATATTGATGGTGCATTGGGTGTCTTGAGATGGGTTAAACCATTATTTGAATATATATTTTATTTATAATTATTTATTTTTATAATGTGAGCATAATTAGTTTATTTCTTTTGTTCTAATCCAGCTACAATTGCTTTTGTATCTGCAAATTTGAATTCTGTTCCGATCCTCAATGAAACAAATTTTAAGGACTGGAAAGAGGATATTGATATTATTCTTGGCTGCATGGATATGGATCTTGCATTAAAGACTGAGCAACCCCCTACTCCTACGGATTCAAGTACCTCTGAACAAAAAAAGAGATTATGAGAAGTGGGATCGCTCAAATCGCATGAGTCTAATGATCATTAAGCGCGGCATCCCGGAGATGTTTAGGGGCACTGTTTCTGAAAACATTACAAGTGCCAAAGAATTTCTTGCTGAAATTGAACAGCGCTTTGCAAAAAGCGATAAGGCGGAGGCAAGCACTCTTCTTCAGAACTTGATCTCCATGAAATATCAGGGCAAAGGAAATATCAGAGAATACATTATAAGCATGTCTAATATTGTTTTTAAGCTCAAGGCACTAAAACTTGAACTCTCAGAAGACTTGCTCATTCATTTGGTGTTGATTTCTCTTCCCGCAACGTTTAATCAATTTAAGGTATCTTACAACTGTCAAAAGGATAAATGGTCTCTTAATGAGCTCATTTCTCATTGCGTGCAAGAAGAAAAAAGGCTAAAACAAGACCAGACAGAAAGTGCTCATTTTGCAAGCACCTTTAAGGCTAAAGGCAAAAGAAAGAGATCGGAGGATCCCAAGAAGGAAGCTGCTAAAGGTCCAAAACAAAAGAAACAAACTCAAGAAAATAAATGTTTCTTTTGCAATAAGACTGGACACATAAAGAAACAATGTGTTAAATATCATGCTTGGCGTGAAAAGAAAGGGTTGCCTAAACTACCGGAAGCCAACTAATTCTGAAAGATGAATATACGTTCAAAATGACAAATTGGTGGAAATGGAGACTATTGAACATTTTAGATTATTATTGTGTACTGGTATTTTTTTTTTAGATTTAAAAGACAATTTTTGTCGTGCCGTCTTTTAGACGGAATTTGGTTTCAGTTTCTTATTTGGACAAATTAGGTTATTTGTGTTCATTTGGAAACAATAAGTTCAATTTGTCTTTTAATTCAGATATTGTTATAATTGGTTCATTTTTGGCTAATGATAATCTATATTTACTTGATATTGTGGTCACCTATAATGCAACTCTTAATACGAGAATCCCGTGGTACTAAACTAAAATTAGACTCCGAACGGTAAGTAGTTACTTCATTGGTTATTCGAAAGAGCCAGGGGATATAAATTTTATGATCCCGCATTAAAGACAATTTTTTGAGATGAGAAGCTGTTATGTTCTTTTTTTCTAAGGGAGACAAGTTTAGTCTAAATTAGTGCCCAAAGGGGAACTTGGAAGATTCCCCATGCATCGGCTATCGGGAGTTTGATGTATTCCCAAATATGTACGCGTCCGGACATAACATACATAGTTGAGGTTCTAGGCAGATATTTAAGCAATTCAGGAATAGACCATTGGAAAACAGCAAAAAGGGTCAAAAGATACTTAAAGAGAACAAAAGATTATATGCTCACATACAGGAGGTCAGACCAGTTGGAGATCGCTGGGTTTTCTGACTCAGATTTTGTAGGATGTCAAGAATTTGTAACATGCTATGAGGCATCAAATCATGGAATATGACTGAGAAATTTTGTCACGAGGCTGCAAATTGTGAAAGGCATTGAAAGACCACTTAAGTTATATTGTGACAATAAATCAGCTTGTATTGTTAAGGAAAGAGTACAAAGTGGACAGATTTCCATAGAACACTTAAGGACAAACTCCATGATAACATATCCTCTAACTAAAGGACTTCCGCCCAAGGTCTTTCATGAGCATGTTGCTCACATGGGTGTTTTACAGTTTGAGGAATTTGTGGTTTAGTGGGAGTTAGCCACTTTCATATATTTTATGTTCTATGTTTAATTTCATATATGCATACATTGATTTTTGGACATATTTGGTTATCTATAGATATGCGGTTTTTGTTCATTCATTACATTTTGTACATTAAGGATATTATATCGATCTCGATAAGTTAAAGTTTGGACCAGTTGAAAATAGACGTGTACAGATCATCTTCACGTAATTTTTCATGCTACACATTTCATGATGAATCCATGTCATTTGGTTATGTTAGGATGAGTAATCATTGTTGGTTTTAGTTGCGATGATGCAATGAAAAGCTGGTTTGGTTCTATATCCTAATATGATTAATGGACAGGACTTTTGGACTATGCTAAAGGAATATAATGACTATTTTGAGCTCATAAAGTCTAACACATTTGTAAGGTTGTAAAGACATATATATTTGTGACCAGTGGGAGATTGTTGGCAAATTTTGGGTCATGTATATATATGATACATATTTAAATGTGTTAGGGTCATTATTTATTAAGCCAAATAATAAAGTGATCTGAATAAATTAAAGTTTTGGCTAAAGGCATATATCATGAAAATATGATTGTGTAGAGACCATAGAGTAATTTCTAATTTGATGAGGAGCCAAATTGAAAATACTAAAACTTAAGTAATTAACCTAATTTTGGTTATATAAAGGGTCATGGTCCCCTTTTGAGAGCACACAGACAGAATGTAGTTACAGTCCCGTTCCTTTCTCTCTATCCCCATCAAGAGAGAAAATCCATAGGGAAATACAGGTGCTCTTCAGGTGGAAGACCATAAAATCAAATCAAAAGTGCTCTACAAAGGATATCGTCATTATGGCCAATTCAGGTACGCTTTCGCATTTAGTTTATAACATGTATACAGTATGTGATTATAGATATATGTTTGATCATTAGGATAAAGATCATATTGAATTACACTTTACCCTAACAAAAAACATTTCTAATATATTAATATAATAATTATAAAAAATTAATAAAAATAAAAATAATTTAAATTTATTAATATAATATTAAAATCAGTTGTAAATTGATCGTTTGAGGATAATCAGGTGTAAAAATAGCTTTTTCCATTAGGTTTTCCTTACAATGATGAATAAAATTGAATAAAGCTTCATATTTGTTAAAAGAACTAGTCCTTCGTGAACCATATGACCGCAAGTTACTCCCATAAACATGGTAGATTTAGACGGAGTATGACAGTGTTATCAGCGTAATCCTTCTATATAAACTTCCCAATCTCTCACTTCTAAACAATCGCAAGAGCGTCATCTCTTCCTGAGGTCACCAAGGAGATATTGAGATACCGTGTAAATAGTACATAAACATCTCTCTCTGTATTTTGAGGCCTCTCAAATAAAAAATAATCATGGAGGAACAACAGAAACGGGAACCTAGTCCTCTCCGAAAAATGGTGGCGGTGTCATCCATAGCCGCCGGTATCCAATTTGGATGGGCCCTCCAACTCTCCCTTCTAACACCGTATGTTCAAACCCTAGGAGTCCCCCACGCCTGGGCCTCCTTTATCTGGCTCTGCGGGCCCATCTCTGGGCTTGTAGTCCAGCCCATTGTAGGCTACAGCAGTGATCGATGCAAATCTGCCTTTGGCCGCCGCCGCCCATTTATCCTCGCCGGCACGCTTTTTGTTGCCATCTCTGTTATCCTGATCGGCTACGCGGCTGATATAGGACAGCTGGCTGGTGACGACATCACGCAGAAAACCCGTCCACGTGCTGTCGCCATCTTTGTTGTTGGCTTCTGGATCCTGGATGTTGCTAACAACATGCTCCAGGGTCCATGCCGTGCCTTTCTCGGTGACCTGGCTGCTGGCGACCAGCGAAAAACGAGAACTGCCAACTCCTTCTACTCGTTTTTCATGGCCGTGGGCAACGTCCTGGGCTACGCCGCAGGATCCTACGACGGTCTCCATAAGATCTTCCCTTTCACGAAAACTGACGCTTGCAACGTCTTCTGTGCAAACCTGAAGAGTTGCTTCTTCTTCGCCATCGTTCTTCTTCTTGTTTTGTGCATTATCGTTCTCTCTTGCGTGAACGATCCTCAGTTTACGCCATCAGATGAGGACAGGGGAGAGGAGGCAGGGAAGACACACTTTTCGTGCTTCTGCGGAGAAGTGTGTGTTGCGTTCAAGGGATTGAAGAGGCCGATGTGGCTGTTGATGCTTGTGACTGCTGTTAACTGGATCGCATGGTTCCCCTATGTGTTGTTCGACACTGATTGGATGGGTCGTGAGGTGTATGGTGGTGATGTGGGAGAGGCAGCATATGATGCTGGTGTGCATCAAGGTGCTTTGGGACTGATGTTGAATTCAGTGGTGTTGGCTGTGGCGTCGTTGGGTGTGGAACCATTGGGTCGCATGGTTGGTGGAGTGAAGTGGCTATGGTCAATAGTTAATTTTATTCTAGCAATTTGCATGGCAATGACCGTGCTCATCACAAAAGTCGCTGAGAAGGAACGACAAATTAACCCGGCTCGCATTGGACATCCCTCCGTTAATGTGCAAGCTGGAGCCTTAGCATTCTTCTCAGTCCTTGGTATTCCCCTTGCGGTAAGATTTCCATCTTTTCTCACTATTATTCATGCAACAATAATATTAGGGTTTCCTTCCATCAACACTTGTCTATTTCCATGAGTATCCAGGTTACCTATAGTGTTCCTTTTGCTTTGGCATCTATCTACTCAAGCACCTCAGGGGCAGGACAAGGTCAACATTTTACCTTTACTTACCATTTTTTATTAAATATTCAAGCTCTAACAATTTTTTTTGCGTCAAAATTTTCAGGTTTATCTTTGGGTCTTCTCAATGTTGCAATTGTCATTCCTCAGGTTACAAAATCAATTACTTCATTCATATACTGACATCTAATTACATTATTTCATATTTATATCAACAATTTTACAATAGAACCAAAGGGGTAACTCCACTGCTACTTGGACCATTGAATTGTGTAATGATGAGGTATAAATTGGCTTTGTACAGATGGTTGTATCGGCAATTAGTGGACCGTGGGACGCTTGGTTTGGTGGCGGCAACTTACCGGCGTTCGTGTTGGGCGCGGGGGCTGCTGCCGTCTGTGCCATACTGGCAATTGTTTTGCTTCCAACCCCAAAGAAAGCTGATGAAGCCAAACTGTCCTCCATGAATATGGGGAGTTTCCATTAATGTCTACATGGAATGTTTAGATTAGAAGGTGCATGGGAATAAAAAAAGAAGATGATAAGTTGACATCTTTCCCCATACATTCATCTATCAACTTTTAAGAATAATATAATTATTATTATATTATTAAATGAAGTTGTGAATGATTGTAAAAAAAAATAGTGGTTTTTTTAATGTATCATTCTCCAGTAATAAATTAACTGTTAGATCCTTCAAAAGTTTGTGCAACTATCTTCATTTCGCATTCTTTATATGTTTGGGGTTCCGATCACACCGAGTTCAGTGGGAAAACATCTTCCATTTCAAGCGAGAAAAAAATATATGGAAAATATTATTGGAAAAAACGTATAAATAACGTTCTTAAAATAATAATGTTTTTATTGACAGAAAGAGAACGAAATAGAATTAATGGGTGTTTAAATATCATAACTCAAAATTATTTTTAAGAACTGTATTTTATTAAATATCTAATCTACAACGAATTTAATATTATAATAATAATAATAATAATTAAAATTAAAACTTTAATAATTATTAATGATAATTATTCTTATATTATTAAACTGAGATCTATATTAGATGGTTGGTTGAAAAGGGATTGTTAGTATATCACTGTTAAAAGCATATTATATATAAATTTTAAATTTATATATAAAAATATACTATAAATTAAAATATATTAAAAGTGAGACTCTCTTAATTGGCCGTATTCTTTTTTCTCTATGCTGTATTTCACACCTTTGTCACTTAATTTGTAAGAAAAAAAAACTCAATTATTTCAAGCTATAGTTTTTTTATTATAATTTTTAAATTAAATTCCAATAATATTTTAACAGTTCCGAATAATTGTAAATAAATACAACAATTTAAGGTTGGAATCATCTCTCCCTTGATATAGATCTAAAAACAGGTAAACTTTAGAATCTATTAATTAAGTGTAAGAACCAAAACTTTATAAACCATATATATGATCAATTGTCTTAGAATAATATAAATATTATATTTAGTTCAATTGGATGATAGAATTCTAACAAAAATAAATAAACAAAAAATGGAGATGAAATAGTTTTTAACAAATGATTGAATCAACAAAACAAACCATAAAAATAACACATATTATTGGGTTGAAATGAATTAAAACTACAAAAGAAGAAAATAATCAATAGGAAGTCATGGATCAAATGTCAGGAATAGATATAAAATTCATTTTGATCCAGAGAACTCGCGACCAACACATGAACTATATCAAATGAAAACTAAAAATATAAGATAGATTAGAAGATCATCACTTGAAAGTAAGAAATTCTTGTTAAGTGTTAAGTGAAAACTAACCTCTCTAGCGAGACTCTCAGCTAAGGAAGAGAAAATAAGACTCACTTCTGTTATTTTCATCAACGAATAAGTTTGACATGACATATATTTGATGTTTGTTGCCAAGCTTAGGCTATACTCTGTTTAAACACTTCAAGTTTATTCTTGGATGCAAATACTCAAATCTTATTATTATTATTATTTCAAGAACCAATCCAAGGTTTTAATTTCCTATAATTCTAAAATTCTAAAAATCGTATATTTTCTTTAATGAAGATAGGATTTTTCTATGCTGATAAAACAACTAGTTTTTAGTTATTCTTCTAGTAATTCTTTCTTGATAATTATTGTGTTCTTCTTGGAGTTTGTCCTTTGCTTTTCTTTAACTTTGGGAATGACTCTTGAACTCTCAAGTGATCCTCTCTCCATCCATGTCTTGGTCACCCTCCCTTTAAAAGAATTAATCGATGAATTTGAGAGACTTACATCATAGAAAGATAAGTTATTTATAATTAAAAAGAAAATGTGTGGGATGATATTTTTTAAGCTAGACAATTTAATGAAACAATTACATTATTTATATAGGGGATTTCGACTCAATAAGGAAGGTAGAAGAAAAGTGTAAGAGTAAGAAGGAATGCGTATTAAAGATAAATTAATTTAACACGTTCATTGATATGGAAGTTGTGGATGTTTTTCTGGGCGGGAAGAAGGTACAAGTGCATACAAAACCAAAAAATCATAAAATTTCGTTGAAAAATAAGAATTATTGACATATACTTAATGGACAAAATCTGTCAAAAATTTTGTTATTAATAAAATGTATATAGAAGGATTTTATAAGTCGGTCCGTGATTATGGATGGAATATATTAGTGGAAAATGTTATCGGTAATTCCTAACGAGATATATCTGTTGATAAAATGTGATAAGTGTTGTGTTTTAAGTGATATTGACGAATAAATTTGTCAATAATTACTAAATGTTTTATCTATTTGTAATTATTGATGGATCTATTTATTGATAAATTTCATTATGTTCGTTATGTCATTTCTTGATAAAAAAATTTTAGTCAGTAAGTTCCATTTTGTTTCTTGCAAAATTTATCAACGGATTTTTTTGTTAATAATGTCCGTTGATAAATTTTCTAGCAAACTCTTTATTTCCTCTTTAATTAGACTTAACCTACATAACATGTATATTCCCTATTAGGTGCAATATCAAATTATTTAAGTATATTATATCTAATTCAACTACAAATTAAGACAATATAATCCAAATTAAATATAATTAAATTTAAATATATCCAAATTAAACATTAAACTCGAATATAATTCAAATTGTCCACCATTAAACATAATGTATAAGTATTAAGTTGATTAATCTATTCTAAATCTATTGAGATGATGTTAGAGTTTAATGTTTGAGGTTATCAAACTCACCATGATAACCATGACCAAGTCTTTAGACCCATAAAGTCTTCCCTTACTTTTTTTCACTAATTGTGTCCATCCAATAACAAGATCTAATAACATCATCTAGTGTAAAGTCTACATGAGTAGACTAAGTTTCACTACTACAATAACAATATTCAACATTAGTTTTATATCTTATACAACATCAGTTTTTGAATCATTGTTGAAAGAAACATTGTTGAAAGTTAAGAGAATCAACATCGGTTGGAAAAAAATCGATGTTAAAAGTTGATTTTTATTTTTTTAAAATGTTTGCTATTTTGTGTCATTTTCCATCTGTAAACAAAATTCAATCTTAAAGAAAACATAAAAATTGTCAAACAAATATAAAAAATCTCAAATAGTTATAAAATAGTCTCAAACAATATATAATTTAAAATTACAACAACTAGATGACAATACAAGGAAGGGCGAGACCATGACGGAGGATAAGACTATAATAGAGCATGGGATAATGATGGATAGTGACAATACAAAGGAGAACATGACAGAAGGTGAGGATATAATAAAGGGCGAAGGCGCGTGAATGCGACAAAGGACACTACAAAGAGTAAGAAGATACAACAAAGAATAGAGGACATGTGAATGCGACAAAGGATACTACAAAGGGTGAGAAGACACAACGGAGGATGCTCTCAATTTTTTTTTTATATATATAAATCATAACACATCCTACACCTATATTCTTAAAAGAACAAGTCTAGACCCAAGTCTTAAAAGGCAAAATTTTATAGACGCTATAGAAAATTCATGTTAGTCTCAATTATCGACGGATAGTTACCGATAGATTTAAAGTATTTGTGGATCCGTCGGTAAATTAAAAATTTTGATAAATTAATAATTAGTTACAGACGGATATATTCGTCGGTAAATTAATAATTAGTTTCCAACGAATATCACTGACGGATTTAAAGTATATTTTTAAAAATCAACATTAAATTAAAAAAATTATATATTTCAAATATATAAATATATAAATATATAATTATATAATTATATAATTATATAAATATATAAATATATCAAAATGTATAAATATATAAATATATCAAAATATATAAATATATCAAAATATATAAATATATAAATATATTTATATTTATATTTTTTATATTTTATATTTATATACTTACACGGATATATATTTATTTGTATATAAATATAATTTATTTGTAAGTTATTATTAGAAAATCGTAATAGCTTAGTAGTTGAAGTATCGAGTAATTCTAAGATAGATGTCGATAATATCTATTCAAAATCATGTAAAAAATCTAATTTTTTTTTGTAGTGTATATTATATATTAATAGAAGTACACATATATTAGGATCAAAGTTGCACTGAAGCACTTTGTTAAAAAAATGACATGGTTGAACTACAAAAAGAAAACAAGAAAGGGACAAAAATTATTTTTATTTATCTTCCCTTTTCAATCTAAAACAAATATATTTCCTTGCATTGTCTTCTCTTTTCAATCCAAAACAAATACAGAAAATCGTAAGTAATAAATGTTGGGTAATCCAAGTGTGAGTCTAAGTCTCACATTAAGTAAAAATGAGAAAGTTGAGCAACATATAAGAAAGAAAGTTTAAACAGTAGTATCAGAGGTAATAGTTTGTGGGGTAATCGGTGGTCCCTATATCGAAAGTCTTTCTAACAGTGGGTCAGGTAAGCGTGTCTCATTATGATGAACAATGGTACAAGGAATGACCACTAATGAACGAGGAAGATGTATCAGTGTGAAGGGAACTATGGCTAAATTAAATATTTTTTATTTGGCTTGTAGAATTGAATACTATGAATTATCGATTTACCATGTATCCTCTTACAATTGTTGCCTATACTTGTTTCCTAAATCATCTTCTAAGACAAAAAATGATAAACAAATTTTCAAACTATAAATGATAAACACGATTCATCACTACTAGAAAAATGTCAAATAGTAACCGAAATCAGTGACCGAAAAATTTAGTTACTATCGGTGACCGAATCAGTAACCAAATTATTATTTTTTAGTCTAGTAATCGAAATAGTAACCGAATTTTCGGTCACGAAAAATCGGTTACTATTTCAGATCACTTTATTATTTGATTTATTTTTTTAATTAATCTATATTTAATTTATGTAATTATTTACTACAAAAATGGTTAATAGTGACTGAAATTAGTGACTGATTTTTTTATATTTAGTAACTGATTTAGTGACTAAAATTTCAGATCA